AGGAATGATACAGTTGTATTTTGGTGCAAGACTCTGAGGGCAATTCCTGATACAGTATACATTTACATGTAATTACTTGTAATAATAAAAATGAACCAAGGCACTTATTGAATAAATGGAGACAAAAACGATACAGGCAATTTAGTAAAATGTGCTACTTAAAATTATATATGGAAATATTTTGTTTGCCAACACATTATATCGATAATATGAACGACACTTAGTTCCAATTTTGTGCTTATCGCCAAGAGATAGATGTTAATTTTTTTTTTTTTATTTAAATCTTTCCGATTTCCATATCACCATTGTAGGTTGATCAATAAAATGAACATTATTTTAGCAGATGGCTTATTTTGTGATTAACACAGAATTTTACTTTTATTATACTTGGCTGTTTGTGAAAACTGCACGCATCGAATGGCTTTGAAAACTTATTGTCGGCATGCACAAAGAAATTTAAGTTCAAGTCGCATGCAACTGATTTATATTGAAATATTGTACTTTGAAAATGATGAAAAATGCAAATAAATATTTCAGAAAAGCATTTAACTGCGACTTAAAAGGCGCAATATTATGTTTTACAAGTCAGGGACTCGGAAACAAAGGATATCGGCAATAAATGAGGTCGGCGCTGTGACGTCAGTCAATACGAGCGAAATCGGTCACGGTTTTTGGGAATTATTACCGTAACCATAATTAATTAAATAAACAGTCATTTTAAAGCAGTGCAGTTCTTTTAAAGGAAAGGTGAAAATCGTTATGCTATGATAGCAACCATGATTCGGTAAAAGGCGGTAGGACACTCATGTGAAGAAGTGCCGCAAGCCGTCTGCTTTAATCGTGCTCGCACATTCAAATACGGGAGCTCGGTCGCACAACAAATTTACTATGCTGTACAGCACACAGTAGTTTCGTAAATTATAACATTTATTGCGTGCGATTCGGACGATTCACACTAGGCCCTGATACTCCAAGTAAGATTCCTACCTTAATCCATTAAACAACTGCTTGGACTTCTCTAACAAATAGCAGAATTCCTGTACGACTTTCCGTTCCTCTTCGGCAAAATGCTCATGATCTGCCATCTTGTCTGCTTGTGTTGTGTTTGGTAGACAAGGCAATGTTTATGGGGTCAGATGTAGAGGGCGCTGTCACAACCGCAAATAGATGATGGTTTGTACTTTTGAACATAATCTGAGCTGTGCCCCAATAATTAGTTTCTGTTGCACAAAATGTTGGTACCTGAAGAGTTAATATTGTTTTAGCAAGAAATTAAGTGCTGTTTATTTTATATCAACAAGTTGTAAACATTTATATTTATTTTTTTGGTATATTTAATGAAGATTTACAATGATCATAGAATGGCTGAAATACACACTCCAATAATTTGCATGGCTACCAGGTATACTAGTAACAGCGCCACCAAAGTTGAAACTCCCAACTTCTACAAATGATATACTGTATTAGGAATGCCATGAGAAAGTACAAGTTTACAGATATAAATCCACCATTTTGGCCAGAGTTGAGTAAATTATAAAAAAGATGTATTGTATGCTTTGTTATTTGCTTATGAATACTCAATGCATACCACTTGACAATGAAATGACATTTCTAATACCTGCTTTTTCACAGAACCTTCTTCAGTCGTTAGAGGCTCTACCTGTTGTGGGTTTGAAACCCTTCCTTGGCCAACTTTTTAAATAGTTGAGTAAGAACTCCATCCCCCTTATCAATTCTAGAAGTTCAAGTTACAATATGGAGAAAAAGGAGAATTTCTCTGGGTTTAATGACGTATTATGTACTACCAACACAACAAACCCATTTCCTTCATATGGCAGTTGAATCAAACAAGTCAATCAATGAAAAAAGGAATTTGAAAATGTTTCAATGTTATTCCATTAGCAAATATAAACCTCTCATTTCAGTTTGAATTTTGAAATTTATAAATAAATATTTATAAAAATAAAGGGAATGGGTTTGTTAAGTCAAAATAATAGTAGTGTAAGCTACTCAGTCATGAAAAAATAATTTCAACAAATTTGTATCATTTTATGAGCTTAACTGTTTCCTACATACATGTACAACTAAAATGGTAAATGTTGATGTTTCTATATAAAAACAGATTTTAACAATGTCTACACCTCATTTTTTCAGACGTTTTGTATCTAATATAATATTTATTTCTGCAACAATGACTTCAGGAAGTACAGAGTGAGGTCCCAAAAAACAAATTTGTTTTTTTTAAAAAGCACATAGAAATGATAATCTATGAATATTAAATGTCCACTAGGAAATGATAAATGTACATTGAAGGAAAGTGTTTACAATATATTGTGAGGTTAGTTGGCACTGCTGTCGTGTGCTGAAAATATTGAGCAACGTGAATATCAAGTGCTGCTAAAACACAATTGTTGCTGTTCGCTATCAAAGAACCAATCTAATTTGTTTACTACCTCACTTTGAGTGACAATCCAACAGATTTCATTAAAATGGTCTTTAAATTGAGGATAGATTTTTTTCTGGATTTGTTATGAATCACTTACTCGTACATTTGACACAACATTTGTCCAGAAAATAATGAGAAGAATTCAAGATACTGTTAATTTTTTGAGTTGATCAAAATCAAATAAATTTGACTTTAGGAAATAAGAAATTCTTTTATGAAATGATTGTTAATTATAATTTTGGTCTGAAAAGGTTATCATATATTAACCTTTTCACCTCTCTTCATCACAAATTCATGAAATAGTCCCGTTTATAGTCTGCACTTTCCTTCAGAAGATTTGGACAAAAATAGCCAAATTTTTTGACTCAAAGTTTGTCTGTTGGCTCCAAAATTAGGGTTCATTTCCAAAAATATTAAAGAATATTAGTGCAGAAAAATTTGGGTGTGAAAGTCAGGTGGTCTTTATACACAGGCTGCTCATACGTATTGGGAATGCCTAAAAGTCACTATAGGCAGGTGGAACAAAGGTAGGCCTCTCAGGTATGACTGTATTTTCTATAACTTTTTTTGATAATTTTGAACCAAATAGACAATATTTTCTATTGCCTACATGCTAGTTTTTTAAATGGTGACAAAATTGACAGCACAATCGTTTTGGGCAATGTGTGCAAAAGATGTGCGTAATACATCACATGGGACTTGCATCGAACATGAAACAATGTCAATATAGTTGCACCTCGCGAAATAATGATGTTTTTGTCAATATTTGTGTTTTTATAAGTCAATTCATTTTTTTTTTTTTTCACTTTCATCTTGTTCCTTCATCAGTTTATTCACTTGTTGTTCCATCTCTCTCGACTGATCCTCACCAATGATATCCTCTGGAGTCAGTTCGTACAGTTCATCTGACGATGCAACACGTTTAACTTTTTCTCCCTTTGCAGCCAGAATTTCTTCAATATTTCTGAAATCGAAAAGTTATCAACAAATTTACGAGAAAAGAAATGCTTTGACGAAATGAAAGTGATTTGTTTATCACCTCCTTCATTTCAATTGTATATACCCCTCTCTGGGTCACTTATAATTATTTGGAGGGGCATATTGAATTACATTGGAGGGGGGCTGGAGTCTTAGGGATCGAGTTAGGGGGTCTTAAGGAACTCTCTCCGATTATAGTTTCTGGCACAGCCATCCCCAGATATATAACATACATATTCTTTGACCAAGTAGGAATGAATGAAAGAAATGTCTTTCTCACCTTTTCCCGTCTAAGTCACTGAACCAACCGAGGTTGTCAGCAATTAGGTGGTGTTTTCCGCATCCAGGACACGTTACTATGACAACGCCATTCTCATATACTTGTTTTGTAATCATTTTCATACTCCGTGTACGACAAACCTTACATGTGAAGACAAGCTGTAGTTTCTTTGGTTGTATCTTGCCAAGTTCGTTTGATCCTTCAGTCGCAGCCGGTGAGTCGTCTGCTTTGTCTTTTGCCTGGGCGAATGAGGCGTCATTATCAAGTTTAGAACAAAACGTCCTTGTGAAATGTGGCGAAATATAACGGGTCAGATTTTTAGGAGCGTGAGAAAACTGTATACTAGTTTTTCCTCGAGAAGCGATACACGATAAAGAGAGTGTCCAGTTCCTCATTCCGCGATTGGACGTGCAGTTCGTGCATCGTCGAATAAGGAATACTTTGGATGTTAGTTGACGGGAAAATAAACACCAGTTCATAGTTGTATGACGTAAATATATCACATATTACACATAACACGACTTGTTCCACATGGTTATCGCGTCAGGTGATTGTAGGTCAGCTGACAGAGTTCAGAGGTCATTCAGCAAACGCATCGAAGATGGCGAGTTGTGTTTATGTTGTCCAAAGAGGACTGCACAGGACACTGTTATATTCTCCGACCGCGAGACATTCTATATATCTAATTACTCCGATTTCAAGAACAAGATTTATAGCAACAGAGTCCACAGAACGTACGTATTTATTGTCTAGTTACCCACCAGTCAGCTGTCACGTGTAACGGGATTCTCATGCAGATTCACAGTTAACTCGTCCGATTCACATTCGTCCCACGAGTCGATTTGTCCCAATCTACTGTAAAACATGTCTTTTTAGCTAGCATGTAATTTTGCTTAATTTGTAATTTCGCTAATTCTAGATGTCACTTATTTATAATAAAGTATATTCTCACAATTCAATTGTTGACTCTTTAACTAAATCAAGACTCCGTTAATTCATGCATGGAGTCAAATTCGCTAAAATGGCATGTAGCTATTTAAACATGTTTTGCAGTAGTTTCGTCTCTTTTGTTCCATTTCCTTTGGTCAGCCTTACGATCAAGTCCAAGGGACACTTCATGTATATATTGGTAACAAGACAATCAATACTTGATGCTTATACAATCGGAAATTCAGAAATAAACTTTTCCTATTATTACCATTTTTCAGAAATTTAATTAATTACACTATAATCTTGAAATATGAATAACTTGATTGGGGTTCTGTCTTTGGGGTGCTGTCGTATGCACAATGAGTGCGTGACCATTAGTAGTTTGTTGTTCAGATTGTCATGGTGTTGCGCGTATTTGATGAGTTAGTATTCTGCTAATCTAATAAATCGACGAAACGACTTCGGGACAGATAAACTTGTGGGTCGAATCAACTTTGAGAAGAATAAACTTGTGGGATGAATGTGATCCGGGAACTCACCCGCTGTTACAATGAGCTCATCCACTGGTAAAATGAACTCATCCACTCTAAATAAACTATTAACTCATTTAGGGATGACGTCAACAAATCAATGTCGGATAAAAAACTTATTTCCTTTAGTTTGGGGGTGGGGGGTTTTAACCTCAAAAAGTTTCCATCCTACAAAAACGATTTTATTTTTTAATGAAGTAAAAAAAATCTTGTAGTATTTGTAGTTGTTTTTTTTTCTATCCAATCATGGAAAGAAATAACCGAAAAGGGAAAAAAACAGAAAAATGGTTTAGTTCGAGTGTAAATCTGTGCGTCAAATGAGGTGCATTTGTAAAATCTTTCTACACCCACCCGACAACCAACATCTATGCAATACTACTCTTCGATTATCAATTTGTATTTAATGGTGAATGTAGTCTGACGCCATGACCAATATTTATCAATTAAGTTTCAGTGGGGGGTAGGGGGGGTTTGGAAAAAAACTAAAGGAATTAAGTTTTTTATCCAACATCGATCTTTTGACGTCGTCCCTTACATGATCACATGATTTCGTTGTAGATCCAAAGGATGAACCTGAATTAGACGACAACTCATCATGTTCAAATTTTGAAAAAGAATTCCAAAAATATCATATTCCTACATCACTGTTACAGAAAACCATATTGG